AGAGAGAGAGAGAGAGAGAGAGAGAGAGAGAGAGAGAGAGAGAGAGAGAGATTGCGCCAAAGCGCACGCGCGCGCGAGAAAGAGAGAGAGAGAGAGAGACAGCTGTTGCAGCGGAGCGTGGAGCGCAGCGGAGCGGCGGCGTCGACTCGACGGAGGCGGAGCAGCGAAGTGCGCGGCGATGGCTGCGAACCGGCACGCGTGGTCGCGAATGGCGCCGTTGAATTTTTATTTCAACGGCGTTAAACGCGATTTAACGCGGTTTAACGCGTTTGAACGGCGTTCAATGCGATTGAACGCGCGGGGCCGCGGTGCGTTTCTGGTGGTTCGGCCGACTGCGTGCGGGTTCTCGCGAGCTGGGGGGACGGTGGGGGGTGCTGGAGAGGGGTCCCTGAGCCGGGCGGCGGTCAAGGAGGGTTGGATTGTAAGGGGGGGGGGGGGGAAGGGGGACCCTGCGGCGGACAGCGGTTAAGGGGGGTATAGGCATTGGCGGTGCGGTCGGGGGGAGTCAGCAAGGGTTGTCTCGCCAGGGTGGTCGACATGGGGAGGGCACAGCGCTGTCAGCATGAGGCTGCCGCGGACCATGTGCAGGACACATTCAGGGCCCGCTCCCCTGTCTATCGGTACCTGGTTGTCGGCCAGAAGGTCGACAGCAAGGGGGTAATGATGCTCCGTTGCACGTTTTGCAACAAAGTTTTCCAAGGGACCCAATTTCAGGCCAAGAGGCACTTCTCGCAGACAAACTACTGCAAGGACGTCAGCGACGAGGCGTTGTACGGGATTGCTCGACGGACTCAACAGAAGTTTGAGGCCGATCAGATGGAGAGGGTTGCCAGGTATGCAGCGGAGCGCGGACTCGATGTGCCCGACACGGGTGGTGCAAGGGGAGGAGAGGCGGGGCGGCGTCCGGCGGAGGGAGGGGTCGGGGGAGATGGTGGGCATGGTGCGGCAGACCCCACTTTGGGTGGTGGAGGCGGTGAGACGGAGGAGGGCATGATCCATGTAGATCCCGAGGCGTATGGCCCGGGCGAGGAGGGAGTACCGGAACGGGAGGACGTGCCAAAGTTTTATCCAGGCACAAGGGAGAGGTTGGAGGACTGGCGGAGGCGAGCAGGCAAGGGAGCTGCAATTGAGGGGTCCTTTAAGAGGAAGGAAGGAGGAAGTGATCCGGCTGCCACCCCAGGGGGGAAGAGGCTTCACCAGCAGAAGGTGACTGATGTCTATGGTGGCGAGTGGGTTGCTCGCCACAAGAAGGCATTCCTTCGCTGGCTGTATTCGAGCGGGGTCTCCTTCAATGCCTTCCGCAACCAGGCCTTGAAGGCATATCAACAAGTGCTTCTTGAGCAGCCTGAATGTTCCCCGCGCGCAGTGTTCCCCAACCACTGCGAGATTGCGAGTATGCGGGCGGTGGAGACCCACCGTGCAGAGTTGGCGGAGGAGTTGGAGGAGGTGAGGCAGCCATTCTGGGTGACTGGTGTCACCCTCCTCTCCGATGGGAGGAAATCACGAGACGGGAGGCCGATTGTGAATTTCCTTGTTGGTGGCTCTCGAGGGGTCGTCGTGTACACGACGATCAATAGAGAGGGCGAGGCGGACGATGCAGTGCACGTCCTTCGGAGATGGGTTACCATCTTCCACGAGTTCAGCTTCGGTGGGCCGCAGAGGATCAATGCGATATGCACTGACTCCGCTTCTGCCTATGTGGGGGCTGCGAGGGCATTGGCCTCGCCGTCCTTGCTTCCTGCACTAAGGAGGATCACTTGGCTCCCGTGCTCCGTCCATGTCTGCAACAAATTGTTGTCAGACATGGGGACGAGTTGCGACGCGTTTGTGGACACGATCACACACACTCGTGTGCTGGTGGTGTTTTTCAAAACCCACCAGGCCGCCCTTTATTTTTTTAGGACGCGCAGCCCCGACAAGGGGCTTATTATTTCTTGCGAGACGCGGTTCGCGTCTGTTTACTCCATGTTGGAGAGGCTGTTTGCCCTGTAGGACACTCTGCAGGACATGATGGGAGGGGAGGACGTGCGGGCTTTTGCTTTCATCCCGTGGTCCGCCGATGTGTGCGTCATGGGGCTTGGGGTGCGCCAACAGATCAGATGGGATCCATGGTGGCAGAGGGTGGCCACCATCGTCCATATCATGCAGCCCGTCATGGAGTTGCTCAGGCGGATGGATCGTGGAGGACAGTACATGTCCCTCATGATTGAGTGGACGCAGGATCTTGTCCGTCGTGTCACGGACGCATGCGCCCCTTTGGGGAAGTCGTTCGCCGATCGCATCATCAGGCGTGTGCAGGCTCGCACACAGCACATGCTTGAGCCGGCTCACTGCGCAGGGTTCTTACTGAACCCCCGCAGGCGACACGTTCGCTACTTTTCGGGGCAGGTAGAGCAGTACGATGCTTGGCTTGTGGAGCAAGCGAAGAGGTACATTCTGACGCAGACGGGATTCGAGTGGGAGGGTGCGGAGTACATCCTTGCATGTCGGCAGTTTGAGGACTTCCACATTCAGCAGGGCAGGTTCGGGGATTGGGGCGGGCCGGAGGGGCGTGCTCGTGGGCGCGCGTGCAGCGGCAAGAGCGAGACGATTGAGTGCGCGTCTTGGTGGTCTCAGTTCGGGTCGGGCGCGCCAAAGTTGCAGCGTTGCGCTCTTCGGGTGATGCACATGTGGTCTTGCGCCTCTCTAGTAGAGAGGGACTGGGCAGTCCACGAGGGCATTCACACAAAGAAGCGCAACCAGTTGGCCTTCGAGAAGGTCGTGCAACTCGTTGAGATCACCGCAAATGTGCGGTTGACTGAGTATCGGCGGGCTGGATGCGGTTATGTGTTGCCATGGCAGCGGGACGAGGGCATGCTGGATTGCCAGGCAGGACTCGAGTTGGAGCCTGTGCGCACGGGGACTCGCAGGGGGATAATGGAGGAGGAGATTGCCCGTCTGGTTGCACTTATTACCCAGGATCCCATCGGGGCATCCGCACCACCCTTGGCTGATGCCATTTTCGATAGACGTGCTTGCATTTTCCGTCCCTACCCCAGGGAGGACGACTCAGACGAGGAGCCGATACCCGAGGCGGCAGATGACCCTGCGCTCCGCATTCCCCGGGAGATTGACGAGACGCACGAGGATCCCGACTCCGAGGAGACGAGGGCACACACTGCACGACGGGCGGTGGACCGGGCGGAGAGGGAGATGCTGGGGGGAGACGAGGACTTTTGGGGCCCATTCAGTGAGGTCGTTTCCACGGGCGGCCCAGAGGCGCAGGGGACGACCCCCACTCTGACGAGGCGGGATTCGTCCATGCCGCCACCTCCTGCTCCGAGTCCTGAACCACGATCGCCCGTCTCGCCACTTCAGTCGGACAGGGAGGAGTTGGGATCCTCTTTGCCTTAGCGCGGCCTTCTCCACAGAGGCGGGGCAGTCCGCCAGCTTAGGTTACGATCACCTTCCCCGGGGATATTGCAGGAGGAGGGGGCACCTTCAGCAGCAGCAGTGGAGAGTTCGGTGGCACCAGCGGCAGTGCCGGACGCGACGATCTCAGCCGCGGTGGAGGAGATAGCAGGAGCAGCAGCAGCAGCAGTGCTGGACGAGGATCCACCAGCGGCAGGAGGAGGTGCAGAAGTGGAGGGGCAGGTGGCAGCAGCAGGAGCAGCAGGTGGAGGAGCAGAAGCAGTGGAGGTTGAGGTGGCAGCACCACTGGAGGAGGAGGAGGCAGCGTCCGCAGCTGCAGTGGAGGAGGAGATAGCCGCACACGCCGAGGTGCAGCGTGGGGGCGATGACGAGCGCCTCATGCAGCAGTTCCTCACGGAGGAGCTCGGTCCGTCCATAGCGGGTATGACCCCGGGTGTGGCGAGGGGGTTTGGGATTTCAGATTCGGAGATGGGGACCCACTTAGACTTAGATTTGTCGATGGGCCTTCCACCTAGTTGCGGCGGGGCGACATCGACGGACCGGGCTCCATCGAGGGACGAGGCGCCAGGACAGACTTCGACGCAGACCGCGAGAGAGAGGACGACGACTGAGTCTCCAGATGCAGCAT